TTTTTGCTGGGACCTTCCCTGGTCCTTGCACGGGCTGGCCACCTGGGACCCGGGCGGCCCGGCTGGTAGCCTAGCTTTACACACAACTTCACTCCTTTTTTTTTTACAGCGCCGACGAGAATCTTGGGGAAAGGTTTTCACAGAGGCGAGTAGTTTGCTGTCTCTTTGCACAAGAGATCCTTGAAGCTGCACTAAAATTTGGATGCAGAAAGGCGGTACTCAAATCGTTTTGCTGTGATTCGCACTCCCTTTTGTCACTGGTACACCATCTCATCTCTCGTTCACTGGTTTTTCTATATTCCCAAATCCCCTTTCTCCTTAACATGGGTGCTAAATATCAGTCTCCTTTCATCGCTTGTCCACTACCTTCCATGTCTTTCTATTTCTCAATAGTAAAATAAGTGATGCCTTGTTCTAAAAGAAGAATACTAACCAGGTCAGGTGAAGACCAGATGGGCACACACACACACACACACACACACACAGAGGGAGGGAGGGAGGGTGGATGGTCTTCGGGGCGTAAAAGAGAGAGAGAGAGAGAGAGAGAGAGAGAGAGAGAGAGAGAGAGAGAGAGAGAGGGAGGGAGGGAGGGAGAGTGGATGGTCTTTGGGGCGTAATCTGAAGTTGTGAAGTATGGATCATAAGCATGATTCTGAGTCAATTTTAATGTGGGATTGGCCTGAACCAGGAGGACTTTGATGTTGTTGCAAAGAAGGCGAGAGAAGAAGCGCTGCAGAAAATTGACAAAGCTGATCTGAAACTGGGTAAGAGGGCTATCGCATGGTCGGACGATGTCATCAATTCAGATGCAGCTAAACGGGCGAAGTGATTTGTGAAACCTGCCCCACAAAGATACATGTTATGCATGTTTACTGATGTCGGCAGATGGAATGAACGGAGCCAAGCTAGCTCAGTCGGCACACCCACAAACTGTTCAAATGCAGACCCGAGCTCGAATCCAGACGGAATAGATGAATGAAAATCCTGAATTAGCTCGGAAGGGAGGGAGGGAGGGAGGGTGGATGGTCTTCGGGGCCAGTCAGTTCCAAGATGATACCGCAAGGCCGTTGTTGCCCTTTTTCGAAAGAGGCGCAAAAGAGGATCTCTGCGGATGGGATGCCGATCAAAAGATTCATCTGTCTACCTACACAACGAGTCCTGCGTAGATCGGTTGGTGACCATCGGCGGCTGGATACACTCGGTTGGTGAAACCTTGTGCAGATGGGTAGCTCTACCTTCACTCCACATTTACAGATCCTTCATCGACGGGAATCCGGTGGCGCTCGGCTGGTCAGTTAGTTGGCCTGTCAGGTGGGACTAGCTAACCAGACGTTGGCTGCTTCGACACCTCCCCCTTTCGTACCCTTTGCAAATATACGTACTTATATTGTGAAACAGTTTGTGAAGGATCATGCACGAAAGCACAGGAGGAGAGCACATCACTTCCCCCAGCCGGGAGAAAGAACTAAGGCTGTCAATGACAACAAAGCGTTGTTGTCTCTGCGGCGAGCCATGAAGCAGGCTAGTCATTCCAATTTACAAAACAATTTTTGGTTCGTTTAGGACAACCACACCGGTACGCGGTCGTCCGAACACCCTAGCTAAGCATAAGGAGTGTCGATAGTTGCACCACGGGCGTTGTACCGACCGCACAGCACGGCCTCACTGAGTGCACGACTTGTTCTAGACCTCGCGACCAAAGGTAGCGTCATCATTTTCTTGCGTTTCTTTTTGTCTTCTTTTATAATGATCTTTCTTTCCACTGTGCCGCATGTAATCTACATTGGTGTACCTGGTCACTGACACATCCGCCGTTTCTTCCACATTGTCAAGTGCCTTCCATGCCGAACCATGACCGATTATCACACGAGTACATGCCGTGTAGCAAGAAGCACACGGACATCTGCAATCCGAGTTTCGAATTTCGACATCACCAGAGCGGCGGGATACATTGAATAATGTTCAGCCTGATCTTGTGAATTGAGTGCTGAAGCAGACGGGCACCTCGGCAAAGTGCTATGTTATTGACACTGTGAAACAACAAATGGGATGACGATGACTCTGCACCAGTATCATCCATCCATCACTGACCCTTGAGTATATCTGAGTGCAAAGGCAGACTCTGGCACCACTGCGCCACACTAACCCACTGAGATTAAGTGGCCGTTGCTTTCTTTGGCACCAACCGCACAGAACATGTACACCGCCCCGTGTCCTTGCTGCGTTGTGTCACTTGTGTAGTTAGAAACAAGTAACTGTCCTTATGTCTTCTCAGACTGCATAGGATGAAATCTCTCTCTCTCTCTCTCTCTCTCTCTCTCTCTCTCTCTCTCTC